ATTTTGAGCTCTTGCACCGAGTCTAGCACAAATTTCGTTAATTTATTGTGGGGCTAAAAAGACATAAGAACTCAAAACCGACTCCTAACCTTTTTCAGGTTGTAGGGAACACCGTAGATGTGCAGGACCACTACCATTCGCTTTTGTCAAAATCAGGACTACTCCTCTCAATACCTTTAGACTTTTTGAAGATAGAGCTCGCCACCACCGTCAACAATGCTTGCGGTAACCGTTTTTCATGATCTCTGGACCCAAGACAAGAAAACGAAGTTCATCATATGTGGGCACGACTTCGCCAGTGTTAAGCCAAGAAACGAAACGGCGATGCCCTTCTTCACCACTTTTTAATTGGCTGACATAAAGTGTAGGTCTGGTTTCTTCGACCGGTGATTAAAAGGCCAACGTGCGTGCTCATCCCCCAGGCACAATGACAGATCCAAGACCTGCAGAACTCTATCTTTTTAATCTCTAGAATGTAAAACTGAGGCCACCTTCACACTTAAGTACACCCAAGACTAAAACACGCACTGTATCTCCCTCCACCATTTTGCGGAGCTCTAAAAATCATCCACGTACCAAAACACCGTTTCAAAGAATACACCTATTCGCGAGTTCATTTTCGTCCTGTACCTTTTTTTACCTTCCTCGGCACCGTAATTCAGCCCGTTTTTTATCAACTTTGTTTAAATATTACCAAGTGACCCAGTATACCACTTGTGTTGCATTAATTGTGTGGTTTATGTAGCTAAAAATTACAATACGTGGTTTGTAGCGACAGTTTTGAGCCTTCTTTTTGTTCAGTAAGTGCAACACGTCCGCTACCTAAACTGCAGGTTCTTCCTGTTTTTTGAGCTCAAGGTAAGTGACGGTTGTCCTAAAGCGGCGGCGAGCTGCACGTTGAGGTGTACGGTTGGTCTCTCCTCTTCTCCGTCAGCTACTTTTGTCGACGCAAAGTTGTCTTCGAATTCGCAGACAACTTTGCGAATTCGAACTACGGTGCTCCCTACAACCTGCAGAGGGGCCAGCTGTAAACGCGTCTGGAGAAGCTACAACGTCAAGTCAGTCTGTCGATATGGCAAGCCCATCTCATGACTGCTACGTAAAAACGGCCATTGTAGAACGATATCGATTTCGTCGCCGCTTTCAATAAGCCAAAGAGTCGCTCGCCAAGTATATCGCTGCTTTACGTCAATTGGCGACCACATGGAATTTTAGAACCCTCTTCGACGAAGACCTTCGCGAGGAGCTCATCGCGGGAATATCCTCGACTTCTCTTTGCGAACGACTGCTCTACGACAAAGCCTAACGTTCGAGCGCCCCGTCGACGTCGTTCTTCACCTAGAGAAGGCCGCACAAGAAGAAAGCGAGATGCGATCACAGCCATATGCCGACTAATCTTCAATAGCATGCGAGGTCAATGCAGAATGTCGTAGACCCTCCCATCGACTGCAGCGAGGTAACAAAGGACGTTCTTCCTCACGCCAGGTGTCATAGCGTCCGCCTACGTTGGAACGACCGACTACCTCCCATGCACCACTACATGACCAGCCTCTGTCTCGTCAAGCCTCAAATCGGAGTCTCTCCCGGACGTCCACTTATGACTAATAAGTGTCAGTACCACACAATAACCGGGAGTTGGTCCAATACAAGAGGCTCACAGCCGGGCCTCCCTACTGAAAAAACCCGTATAAAAATTCATACTGGTTGACCCGTATATCTCATACGGTGTTATGGGATACGGGTCTCCCGTGTACTACTTGGAACCCGTACCTGTACAGGTTGACGCATACAGATACAGGAAGCCGTACCTGTATGGGCTGACCGGTTCAGATACGGGACCCGTACCTGTACGGGTTGACCCGTTTAGGTAGGGAAACCGTGTTTGTATGGGTTGACCCGTTTAGATATAGGAGCCCGCACCCTACAGGTTGACCCATTCAGATATAGGAACCAATATTTATACAGATTCACCTGTTCAGATAGAGAAACCTCTATCTTTACAGGTTTACCCGTTCTGACACAGTAATAGGAATCAACATGGTGTTGAACGTTTGCATACGGACGTACGGATCTTAGCAGGTTTAACGATTTGCACGCATTTGTCATGCAAAGAATGAGCATGAGCCAGGTCATTTCAGGTTATATGTGTATTTAGTGAAGGCAAATTTGCCTACTGCAGAACATCACCAAAAAGCTTAACCTTTAAGCAAGCTTAGAAGTCAAACTTCTTGTTAATATCCTGCAGTATAATATTAACAAATTGGCATACTGCAGTAGGTGGACCCGAGCTGTCCTCTTTCCTGGAGAGGCCTCTCGAGGATGCCTCCATATGTACTCGTTGAAGGCATCTGCAGGGGAAAAGAATACAACAATAAGTCATGTATATCTACAGTTTCTCGAAAAATATAATATTTTACTTCTTGCATTATAAGCAAGCAATTTCCACTACAATTTATGCTTTGTTAATATCTTGTGTTGCCGTGTAGACGCCAAGAGCAACTTCTTACGATTACGCAGTCTGCTGAAAGCAGCAGGTATGCATGATTCAACCGGGAAGTTTTGAACCAGTTCAGACCGAGTTCAGAGGAGCGCAGAAGCAGTGCCCAAGTCGGGCTGCGGCTGCGTGTAGTCAAGCTGCAGCGTTACAAACGACCCTGTAATTGGTTTCCGAAAGACCGAGGGTTGCCACCTGTTACTGCATGAACGCTGAACTGATTTCAGCCAGCGAAAGATTCTGAGGAACTGAGGCTGAACTCGTGCAGCACTGGGATAAATCGAACAGGCCGGTTCAGCGTCCAAGCAACTTCCGATTGAATCTAATGCATCAGTTCTTACACTACTTGAACTATATCGGCTGCTTCAAGCAAATCGAAAAGACCTAGTGTGACGTCCCACAACTATGCACTTAAAGTTTGCTTGCAACTGTGTATTCCTTGCATTTCAGTGTCTATAAAAATTATAGACCCTGTAGCAGGGGGACAAAAAGGAACGAGAAGACATGGAGCTCGGGAGCTTTATGTCTGTCTGTCCCTTTTTGTCCCCACGCTCCAGGGTTACTACGTCTATCCTTAACCAGCTCGCCTGCCTGTTAAATAAAATGAAAGTATGTTCTATGAATTTAAATATATATTTTCAATTACCTAGAGCCTCGAATACATTTCATGCCCAACAATGTCACCATGGAAACGAGTGAAAGGAACATTGAACACACAATTCTCGGCCGGCGGTTTTTGTGCGAAAGAAAAATTTTGAGCCGCAATTGTTGTTCTGGGCATGTATATAAATTAACAACACAGATTTGACATCAATAATCATTTAACAAATTTAATATCCGTGTCACGACCCTTCAATGGTCCATTCATACGTGATAGGAGGAATACCCACGATGAGAAGGTAGTTTAGAAAAAATGGGCAGTACTCAAAGGACAGAGCGAAACATAGTTCGGTTACATCAGCTCTAGTGGACAAACAGAATCGTTAAAATAACTTTGCTAGTGCCAGCTTTTCGTTCAAAAGAAAAAAATAAGTGCCTCACAGCTCCGCCGGGGAGCCAGCAGAAGGTCCTGCGAGCAGGCCACTGATATCATGGACATCCCCCAAAGCTCGCAGGGATTAGCAGATATTTGCGACGCGGAGCATGTTGCTGTAAAACCTCCATAGTGTGAATCCATCAGAAAGCGCCAAGCGACCTAGGTGACCGTGACAAGGTAACTTTATTTTTCTTCATATATTAAAAACAAAAGAAAAAGATAGGGCTTCTTCATTTCGGTTTGGCGCTTGGAGCTTCACGTTCCTAAAGCTCGAGCTAGTCGAACTGTGACCCTTCAACAGCCTATAACACTGAAAGTTCTGAAAGCCTTGGAATATTTTTTCCCATTCCTTTTGTCGTAGCAGATTACAACTTCGGAAGCCATAAGGTTTGAATGTCTCACCTAGTATGAGACATCTGTGAGAAGTGGGCACTTACTGCTGACTGCTGCCAACTTGGCTGGAGTCAGGGCCCTTTTGGCCACGGCGCACTTGAAGCGCCGTCATGGCACCCCTCACACTCGGCCCATGCAGGTCCTTCATGCCGAAGATCAGCTTCGTGGTCTCTTTAGCGAAGATGGAGTCTCCCCGGGCTCCCCTGACGTAGGACAGTTTGTACCTTTGCACCAAGACACCGTGGCCAAGGTGAACCTAAAATTAAATAGAAATGCTCTACAGGAAATGCAGCCAGCCATTGGTCCCGATCACGATCTTTCGGAAACTTGTGCAGACGTCTGCCGTACAATGACACTTTTTTCGGAACAGGACATGCGAGGCACCTCTTCATGCAATATCTTGGGGGTTTTCTTTTCGGAGCCGATCACAGAAATTCACCACGGGCACTCACTACTCATCTCCAGCTTCTCAATGTACAAAACAACTCATCTTGAAGTGCAGAACAGAGAGCGGAAGAAACATAACTGCAAAGGAATCGCATAGCAAACAGGTCCATCCATGCATGTCGTCTGCTGTACACACAAAAAAAAAGGACACGGAAGGGAAAACAAAAAAGCTCACAGTCGGGTGTAGCAACGTGACCTCTCCCACTCACTCTCTTCTCTCCACTTCTCCGACCTCCGTGCAGGGGTTTCAGTTTCGGTTCTGAGCAGTTGCCTTTCCTGGCTTCAATAATATATATCTGACTCTGTTGAAAAATATTAATTATGTAGTCTTTAGACACCATAATAAATCGCCTGGCAAAAAATGAAACTTTTTTTTTCGGGGGGGGGGGGGGGTGTATGTCTCCGTCTAAGTGAGTTCTGAGTGAAGAGGAAGAACGAAAGAAGGGTACCAATCATAACAGAATTTTAATCTGGGCTCGTGGTACACGATTTATGAAAGAGCTCAAAATAAAACGAGGACACTAGATAAAAAAAACGTTTCAGAAAAGCGCCAATTAATTGGGCAGAAATATCTTATCAATGCCCGGTTCTACTCTTTACATTCATCAGCATTTTGAAGCAGGACGATAGTTCAATTTAAGGAAGCATACAAATAACCTCATTCAAGGAGCTGTGGAAACCATAAAATGTAGTCACTTGCCCAATATCCGAAATGAATATTCAATGATATTCTGAACTTACCTCATCATCGACCTATGCAAGCACTGGCACACACTCGGGAGGTGCCTTCGGTGGGCCTGCTACAAGAACCGCTGCTGGAACAGCAGCATAAGCGGCCGGTACGTGTCGAGTGTGATCCACACCAGCTCGCACAACGCGAACTGGAGCAGGAGCACCAGCTGCAGGAACTGCTGCTGGGAAAGCTGGAGGAGCTGACCCAACACCGCCAGACGCGGCATTGTCCACTGCACATAATAATACACTGTTTAGAAACACGACACGGTACAGGAGTCGACAGATTTTTCGGACGCCAAAAATTCAGACATGCTTGGTTATTCCGACTTCAGCACTTTCCTGGTTCGTGGATGGCATGAGGGCTTTATAGTACTTCATGCCACAGAAGACTATCGACAGTGTGCCTATTTGTTTTTTCGTAACACACCGGGACTGGAAAAGTGGTGCGAGCAGAACACAAAGAAGGACGAGACACAAAACCAAAAAAGAAAAAGAAGAAAAAAGGAAATGCGCTCAAATTCGCCAGCAGTGGGCGGCAGAGAGCATGTTTACGAAAAAATACCGGTGAATAGCTAATGAATATTCATACCTAGCACTTCCGACGGTTTGCGAGATATAAGCTCAGTCTTTCTGACGAAATCCAATGCTGTAGCAGATCGTCTAGCCACCTTTTAACCAGTTGCACAGTTGCGTCGCTAGGCACAATCTGCCGCCCGATTAAAGTTCAGCCTTGTTGGTGCTGTGGTCACGCCTACGACCAGCTTCCTCACTCCCTCCTCCTCAACAAAAAGAACTCCTTCTCCCCAATGACGAAAGGACGTGCGCTGGCCGGGCTCATCGGAAAGTGCATATTTACAATGTTGTGACCGACAGAACAAACTTTCACTTCAAGCCTCATCTATGCGCACAGACCATGGTGTCTTGGTATGGACATGATTGTTTCACGAACTGCAAAAAAATATTTCTTCGTTCAAAACAACAGTGCTGCCAAGCAAAACGGAGTCATCGCCATCAGCAACAAGAAACAAACTGTCAAAGCTACATTTGCACCCTAAGAGAAGAAAAGAGAATTATAGACACCAACTCATTGATACATTGAGGCCACCCTGTAGTATATGCTTACTTCTGTTTGCGACCAAAAAAAATTAAAGTTACTTTTGATTCCTTGGATAATGTGTGAGCACATAATGTGTCGCGTGTGAGATCGGCAACTAAAAGTGCCTCCACGCTTACCCAGTGGTGCCAGGAGCTGCTACTGCAGTCTTCTTGATAGCGTCCTTTCTATCTGGAGCTTCTGCTTTAGGTTTACCACCCTCTGCTTTGCCGACCGCAGCTTTTCAACCAGTCAGGCATGCTCCACAAGCGACACAGTGGACGTCTTGTCCTCCGTCTTCTTTTTTCTTGTACTTGCCACCCACTGCAGGGGATGGCGAAATCTCAATCTGGAAAAGAAAAAAGGTCCACGCATTTTAATATTCATTTAAAATAAACTTCCAACACAGGATTCGGACACACATAGTTCACATTAAATTGCCCCCCCCCCCTTTATTTTTTAGGTGTATGTTTCAGCCCTAAACCTGTGATTGGCCCCTCCCCCTGAAAGAATGCTTCCAGATGCCCATGACCATATATCCGGTATTCACTGTCATTTCAGGAAATAATTGCTACATTCTCCTTTACATTCTAGTGTGTAAAGGACGATAAGTGTATCTGTTTGCGCTATGTGTACCTGTTGGCAGAATACACGGTATAGGTAAACGATATAGTATGATAAAATATTGTGTTAAAAGGTACTTCTCAGTTAGTTAGAATGTAAATTATAATTATACTACTTTGCACCCAGTGTGCTTTCTATGAGGTACGTAAACTCTTAGTTACTTTGTACTTGCAATTCAGTACTTTTAAATACGATACCATTTATAAGCAAACCCTATGCACTTTAGGCCTCCGTTGGTCCGAGGATTTGTAACTGCTTTTGAAAACAGCATGCGCCGGCACATTATAATTCAGAAAAGAAAAACATGCTGCCGGCACTGTGGCTCAAACCCACAACTGTTGGGGTCTAAGCCCGGCCATCGTACCCGCTTCACTACGAGCACACATGGGCAAGCATTTGCGAAAGAGTTACTGGGTGCAGGCAAGAGCTGCGTTGATGCACGTGCAAGTGACTCAACGCCGTTGTTGCCATAGCAATGGGTGTCACATCTGGTCGCAGTCGCGCATAGCCACATGTGAGGAGAGCTCTGTGAACCAGACTTGAGCATCATCTATCGTTGTCGGTATGCGAAAGCAGGTCTCACCAGAGGAACATACACACAAGCGTGCTGAGGCACAGTGACAGCAAAGTGCCTAGGGCACTTCGGAACAACATGAAACATGTTTGTTGAAAGCTAGAGAAGAAAGTAGGCAACAGGAGGACCATCGAAGCGGATGAAAAGATTCATAAGCGGAAACTTTGGCTGCAACGCAAGCAGGACGCCAAACAAACGAGGACGTCTTGCGATAGTGGAGAAGAGATGCACATTCGAGTACAACGAGATTGAGACTTAGAGCAGGTGAGGACGCCTCGTAAGACTGAAGGGGGTCAAATTCAGATATAATGTGGTCGAGAAACAAGCAGGAGAGTATCTCTTAAAATTGAAGACGGACAACTTCGGCTACAGCACAATCGAGACCAGGAGTGGCCAAGCTGCGGCTCTTTGTGAGTTGAAGTGCGGCTTGTGTCCCACTTTCATAGACCGTATCTACCCACCGGATCTGTGTAACAGAATAGCAAACAATTAAAAAAAAATGTCTATACAAATAGTCCCGGCCAGCCACAATGAATGGACACAATTACTCATGAGGCAAACAAAATGCAAAATATTCCTTGGCCTAACCGTGCAATTTTACCCACAATTACTGCCCACTGGTAAAAGAAGTGAAGTATGGTGCCGACTTAAAAAAGGGACACAAAAGACGAACTTAAGGCCGCTGGTTCTGAGCAGAGTCTAAGAATGAGGTAAGAAAAACAGTTTAAAGGCGCACATATACCTCGAACCTTGAGTCCAATATCATAGGGATGGTCACGTGCTTCTTTTTCAAAGCAGAAACCAGCTCACCTCGTGTCTCTATAAGACAAAACATGCACATTGAGCTACATCTCAAAGTCGTGTTTGTCCCCTCCCCCCCCCCCCCCCCTTGTATCGAAGTTTTATTAATATGAGAGTTCACCAGCTAGCCTGCGCTATAACCCTTGTTTCCACAAGTCTTTTCTTCTATATTTTTACAAATTAAATGCACCACCTAGTCGAACTTATGTGGTAAAATTGTCGTAGCTTACAGAGCCGATTTGTTGTGATTTATCTTAAATGTCGTGGCTGCCATCTGGAGCGCCCTGTAGTCCAACAATGTAAAACCTTTTGCTTTTGCCGCCCATTTCTTTACAAATCCGGCGCAAGGATATATTCGTGCCCACCACATTTCGCGAATTCTAGAAGCCGAAACGGGGGACGCCGGAACGGGGGCCCACGAAATTTCCGCTTTTTACGTGTCCTTTAATTTCGCTAATTTTTGGACGTGTAGAATTTGCCAAAAATCAGGGGCTCGCGAACATTAGGGAGTTTTTGTAGACCGCGTTTCCCCCTCCGCTAATCTTTCCGCAACGAAGAGGTTACTGCTGCGCCTGCACGCCGCTAGCCTTGACTGTAGAGTTCCAGGTATATAGCGAGTTGCGGAGGGCGTTGCGGGACGGCGAAAATGAGCTACGAAACTCCCCATTAATGGTTCGCAGTACACTTTGTGCTTCGAGCCCCTGATGCGTAGAAAACAACTTACCATTCCCCGGCGCACGCTCCAACAGCCTCCCAGTAGACGCTTTTCGGCACGTCGGGGTAGACGTCGCCAACGCTCGCCGGTTTGAACTTCTTGATACGGTTCACGCTGAGTATTTCCTTCGCGCCATCAACATAAGTCACGTATGCTTTGTACAGGGTGTCACAAAAGAAAATTTTCACGGTCTTTTTGTACCGCAAAAATAAACTAGACATTGCCCGAACGCTCATCCTCCGCCCAAAGGTAGAGCTGGAGGTCACAACCAGATGCCAAAGTTTCAGCCCGATCCGATAGCTTAATCAAAAGTTATAAGTGATTTTCGGAAAATTTCAATGCGAAAATGGAGCCCATTTTTGCCCGTTTTCGGTTTCTGATGCCATAGAGCCCCATGTGTTTGAAAACTTCGTCGGCCGCCATTTTCCCATTGCAATTTTTAGAAAATTACTTATAACTTTTGATTACGTTATCATATCGTTCTGAAACTTTGGCATCGGGTTGTGACCTCTAGTTCTACCTTCGGGCAGAGAATGAGCGTTCGGCGATGCCTAGTTGATTTTTGCGGTGAAAAAGACCGTGTAACTTTTCTTTTGTGACACCCTGTACATATCGACACCGATACACACCGATCGAGATAGCCCTAACGTCAATGCGGCTTTGGTTCAGAGCACTGGCTAGCTGGCTAGCGGCGCGGGTACATAAGGATTGGATTGAAGAAATAGTCTGCCTTAGTTTATATTAGTACTATTATTACTCAAATTAGTTTTAAAACATTTAAAAGCATAAAAACTTACCATGTTAAGTTTATTTCTTGTTAAGAAAAACATTGTTTGTCCGTCGTTGGTTGTTTTTCTGCACTCTGTCTGACAGCTACGCAATCCAATCCAATCCGATGTCAATAAACCGAAACCGAAACTACCGCGGTACAGGGCTCAAAGCTATGAAGCAAGTATGCTTGGGAGAAGAGCGTGTTGGTTTTGGTCATGAATGAAGAAAGAATAAAACAATTAAAACTGGGACAACACAACCACATCTTTCAACTAGCAACAGACGAGTAAACTTTCAAACAGCGAGCAGCCGACTATACCCAGTAGGAGTAGGGAAAGAAGGGGGAGAGAAGGAAAGGAGAGAAAAGAAACGCGAAGTGCAAGTCAGGGTGGTAGGGTTGTCTCGGATTTTAAAAATTTAACCTCAGTTTTTGTCAGCAGGAGGGAAGGGTTAGACACGTTGTTTTTTGCTGTGGTCATCGCGAATGATTCTATGATTTCCCTGCCGAATCTGCTGTCATGTCCCCCCAGGATTTTTGTGTCATCAAAAAGGGGATGACAACGCAAACACGAACGGGCATGTATGACTATGGGATGATAAGAATCTGGAATCGTTGAATCGTCAAATCGTTGTTTTCTTCATCCTTCACGAAGTCTTGCTGTCATCTTTCAGAATATAGCTTCAAATTGCAGCACATGAGGCTCGTTAGGGCAGGGTTTCCCGTCGACCTTCTCCGATCTGTAATGGAAAGGATGATTCGCGGGCCTGATCGCCACTCACCATCCACAAAAAAGAAAGCCCGATTCGCCGTCATTCCTTACGTACACAATTCAGCCCACCGGATAAAATCCATTGCCTCAAAGTTCGACACGAATGTTGTCTTCTCGTGCCGCATGCGTCTTAAACAACTATGTCAACAAGTGAACAACAACCGGATTCCGATTGGCTGCACCGTCAAACACGAAAAGAAATTCATTCCATGCAAAGAGAAGAAAGTTTACTCCATCCCCTTGAGCTGCGGCCATCAATACATAGGACAGACCGGCAGATGCACCAATCACAGACTCCACGAACACCACAACGAAGTTTCTAAGGCCTCTCCAGATTCTTATCATCCCATAGTCATACATGCCCGTTCGTGTTTGCGTTGTCATCCCCTTTTTGATGACACAAAAATCCTGGGGGGACATGACAGCAGATTCGGCAGGGAAATCATAGAATCATTCGCGATGACCACAGCAAAAAACAACGTGTCTAACCCTTCCCTCCTGCTGACGAAAACTGAGGTTGAATTTTTAAAATCCGAGACAACCCTACCACCCTGACTTGCACCTCGCGTTTCTTTTCTCTCCTTTCCTTCTCTCCACCTTCTTTGCCTACTCCTACTCGGTATAGTCGGCTGCTCGCTGTTTGAAAGTTTACTCGTCTGTTGCTAGTTGAAAGATGTGGTTGTGTTGTCCCTGTTTTAATTGTTTTATTCTTTCTTCATCCATGGCTATGAAGCAAACTCTCGTTTATCTCGGCCTCGCTTCTCATGGATTTGGTTTTCGCATTTTATGACTTTAAATATGCATGTCATAAAATTGTCGAGTTTGATAGCTGAAACTGCTAAATTGAAATGACCTAATATGTGATTTTCTTATTAAAATTCTTTATTGAAAAAATATCACAGTTTAGTTTCCCGGTGCGCGCGTTCCCGTCGAGGTCTGATAATTTCTGGTCGCGTTAAATAGACCGATCTCACCGGCCAGTTTGACTACGCCACAACAGCTGCAATGCAGCGAGGGAACATTAGTCTTTGGGCACGTGCGACAACGTCGCTGGAGCTCTTCGCGTGTAGAGCACGAGAAGGCGCGAGCCCTCGCGTGCACGGCCGTCTGCCTCCTGTGAACTAAAGTTATGGCGGCTTTACGCATGCGCCCAACGCTTAGTGAGATCGGTCTATTGTGTATACCGGTAGAGCCTGTACAAGGTTACCGACCGCCAGTTTAAGTGCCGCCGCCGGTAAGGCGTTACCGGCCGCTCCGACACGTGGTTGCTGTTAGCCGCGAATGGATTACTGGCCACCGGTACGTTATTACGGCCCATCAGTGTGGCGTACCGGCTTCGCCTGTACGTGTTCACTGGCCGCCTGTATATGATATGGCAACCGGTACGGCGTAGCGGCTTCGCCGGTACGTGGTTACCAGTTACCGGTGTGGCCTACCGGCGGTGCCCGTACGTGTTTACCGGCCGCCTGTACATGGTATGGGCAGCCGGTACGGCGTATCGGCTTCGCCAGTACGTGGATACAGGTGGCCGGTACAGAGCTACCGGTTACCGTTGTGAGAATACAGGACTCCGGTGTGAACCGGTATAGGCCGGTATACAATTGTACAGGTTTTTTCAGTTGGGGGGACCTCTAATCGAGCTTTTGGTTGCAAGCAAAAAAATCCCCATATTGTTGAAATTCATCGCTAGTCCTCCGCTGGGTCGTGTCAGATGCCCTTCGTCGGTTTGACACGTTAAAACCCTAAATTTACATTTGATATCTGTGCTTTGGATGTGGTATCAGTATCCTCTAGGTACAAATAACTTCATCAAGGAACCCCTTTGATATGTTGGGATAAGAGTGGGTTGGTGTATCTTTTCTTGTTTTCGTTTTTCACGACAAAATGTCACCTGACTACTTACTTGTTTACAAATGTTCTTGCTTCTAATTTCGCAGGTTATTTAGCTTTCTTGTAACCGGTAAACTAACTAATGTCTACAATATATATATATATATATATATATATATATATATATATATATATATACATATATATATATGTATGTATATATGTGTATGTATATATATGTACATATATATATATATATATACACATATATATATGTTTTGTTCAGATAGCAATATTGTTTTTTGCATATCTTTGACAGGACAAAAAAAATAGCAAGCTTCAACTTATAGTGTTGATTTATATATAAGGGCATTTTGAAAAAAATTAACTACTTAACCATGTGATTCAGGTTAATTTGGATTTTTTTTCCGATCAAATCCAGATAATTGTGCATTGATCGCACAATGTCTTTGCTAAAACAAGCTAACGGTGTGGCAATTTTAAGAATAAACCTTCGTTTTTATACGGAAAAAAGTAAGCTAAACCAGTATGTGATGACGTGTCTGACAAAAATACGAATGCGTATGGTTTAGAAAGATATTTGCTCCTTGATCCAATAGCTCCTAAAGGCATGCGGCTCGTTCTATGTCTTCCCCTGAAAAGGGTTGTGTCGTATTCTTTTTTTTTCTAATTTGCTTTTCTCGGAAAAGTTTAATAACCAGAAACCGTTACCGATTCTCAATGTATTTGATCAATGTGATGCCTGAAACGTTCTCTCGCCCCATGAAAGCCAAACGTAATATTGCGCGAACATATATTATAATTGTCTGTTGTTTTCTTTGTTCACAGGAAATGACGTTCGCTGTGTGTCAACTATTTGTTTGATCTGATTAGTTAAGAAAGCAAAGGGTTCTTCGGTTTTAGCTGGCACTTACCTTGTCTTTTGTTGTTGATTTTTTTTCCGGAACGTATACAAACTTTAAAAAATTATAACATGAGCTAAGATTTAGTTGTGTTTCGTAACTCTTTTCAATTCGCGACATGGCAGCCATCATCTAGCTGAAAATCATGCTGAAACTCCTTATGCCTTGGGAACGAAAATATTGAAGGCAGCAAAGTTTATAAAAATCAATGTTAATTTATAGCTATTTTAAAGGTTGATGCTTCAAAGGCACAAACATTTGTCGGTCTCTTACTTTGGCTCATTTACAAGTGACAAAAATGGTGGCCATTCGTTAGTGCTGCAACAGGGGGATGCCAATAGTGAAATAAGTAAGGATTATTAAAATGTTTATATGTTTGTTGTGCCTTAGAGTAATATACACATAGATGCTCTACATTTTACTTTACCTAACACCAACAGTATCAAAACAAATACATATATTAGGATAAAAATTACTTCGTCACTATTCATAATAGCTATGATCAAAAGGTGTATTTGCAAAGCAATCATCAAAACCCTGCTAAAAACGGTTACCATTCTTGGCACAGTTCGTATTTATGAAGACTAACACAATTATGAAAGCTGGGAAAGTTATAAATTAAGATATTAGAAAACCTAGGCTAATAAGGAATAACGAGATTAAGAAATGGTCTCTATCATTAATTTTCATTATTGGGTACAACCCATGTGTAACTGGATAACTACATTGTGTAACTTGGATTGTAAATAAATTA